TAAACCCTTTCATCTGCCACATGCACCCTGACATATGAGGTCCTGCTCCACAGGTCCAAAGGCAACAGGGCCCCATACTACAGCCTGAAATCTCTAAACCCATAATGTAAAACCTTCTTTTGAATTGTTTATCTCAGGTATTTTGTCACAGCAACAGAAAGCTGAGCAACACAGATGTCTCACTGATTGTCCTCTATAAACATGCAACTTTCACTTTTTAAATTCTTCCTTACTTTCTGTTCTACAAATTTGTTTCTTAAGCCCTGACTTCAAATAAATGACCCCAGTTCTACGGAGGTCTATGTATGAGAAAAATCCTTCACTCAGATGTCTTTCTGTGGGTTTATTTTTAAGAACAATAGCAAATATAATCTTGCAAAACCATGCACAGAAATTCAAAACTAAAAACTGTGAGTACAATCACTTTTTCAAAGTGCTTCTCATTTTTTTAATTAGTATTGAGGAGTAAAATTAAGGTAGGGTTAAAGGCTTAGTAAAATACAGCCTTCATGCAATAATTACACCAAAGAGACATAAGCCAGTGATTATTGTCCATAATTGTTCTCCATTTTTATGTATTGAACCTCTGTCCTTTGTTCACTGAAAATTGCTAAGTGCTTTTAAACTTCTGTTTTGGTTTTCTGCTCTGGCCTGATCTAATAAAATGGCTCTTTGGGGGTGAGGAGAGTACATCTTTCCCGGTGCAGCCTGAGTGCCCCAGGTGGAGAGGGCATCTTCCAGAGGCTGCGGAAGCCAGGGTGCATGCTGGGACACCCCCAGCAGGCCATGCCATGCTACACTCCGCATCACGACAGATGCGTGATCGGCCTGAGAAGCCAAGCTGGGGTGCACGGTGATGGCTCACCTTCCCAAGGAATCCACAGCTCCACCCTTAGTTCTGTGGTCTGCCCCTCTACCTGCTGTGGACCCAAGCTGCAGTGATGTCAGGGACAGAGAGAGTGTGCGGGCAGTCCATTCAGAGTCTCCAGGCTGCCTGGAAGTGGACCAGTCTGCTTTGGTGCAGAGGGGCTGGCGCTGACCTCAGCCGCCTCCTGCCTCTTGGGAGCTCTGGAACTCGCCTGTTACATCCTTCCCACTCCTCCTGTGTTCACCTCTGAGTCAGCCAGGCATTGCTGTCATTGAGCGACAGCAGAATAACTCAGCAGGGACTGCTTTACATTTAAACGTGGCTTTAAGGTTACTGCAGTGGCGGCCAATGGACCCTTTGGGGGCTTAGTATTTCTGGCTGCAGATTAGAGATGTAGAGACCTAGTGAGGCAGCCTGGCCTGGCTCTGGTAGCCACAGTCAGAAGGAGGGGCCTTGGGAGGTGCTGGCACCAGTTCAGAGCCCAGGGGAAAAAGAAAAAGGGCCAGACACCCCAGAGCCTCCCTGGTGACAATCCAAGTTTTTCTTTTTAGCCCAGTTTTCTCCAGGAGGAAGCCTTCCATAATCCTCCCTGTCCCAGGACCCCAATCTGCTCAGGCCTGGGCAGCAGAAATACAAAGACTCCAGTGTCACTGGGATCTGTCCTCTTGTGTGCTGGGTGCTGCCACTTGGCCACAGTGGAGCTATTCCTGGGCTCTTCCTGTGAGACAGTGACAGAGCCACCTAAGACCGAAGAGAGCAGGTAGAATCGAGTGTTTGGACATCACCATGGCTTCCTTGGTCCTGCCTAGGGTTCCTGCGCTCAGAGGGGACACAGGAAGGAAGAGGCACAGCAAGTGGCAGGAGCTTCCCTGCTAGTGTGTGCTCTCTCTTCCTCTTTCTCCCTCTCCCTCACTTGCTCTTTCTCCCTCCCTCACCCTCTTTCTCTTTTAATCTTTCTCTTTTTTTCTTTTTTCTTCAGTACTGAGTACTGAATCCAGGGCCTTCACACTGAGCCCTTTTTCACCTTTTACGCTGAGGCAAGGTCTGCCTAAGCCACCAAGCTGCCCAGGCCGGCTCCACCCTGCATGCCTCCTTGCCTGTCTCCCTTCCCAGCTTCCCAGAAGGCTGGGATGGCAGGCTCACCCCACCACGCCCCACTTGTTACATCGTTTACATAAGCCCAATCTCCCTTGGACTCAGCATTTAGGGAAGCACTGAGCGCTCACTGTACACCAATCCTCCTTCAGAGCATTCTCGAGGAAAGACTACAAAGAAATGGAGAATGTGTCCTCCACTGTCCTGAAGGCGAAACCTCAGAAACCGTGATGCAACTGACCAGAAAACGTAGTGGGCTACTCAAGTGCTGTCAGCCCTGATAGATGGAGGAGAGGTCTGAAGTCTTATTTCATGCATGAGAAGAAAGCCACTTCTGATTCATTAAGCGCCTCCCTCCTACGGGTCAGGAAACCCATTTCTCCTCAACTGCACAGAGCCTCCCACCTGCTGCCTTGGAGCCCCCCAAGTATGGAGGGAAAAGTAGCTGAACCATTCTGAATCATATAGAGTGTGCTAATCAAACAGAAATTAACTAGCTCTGTGAAAAAAAAAAAAATGTCTTCAAGAGCCTATTGGAGACTTTTCCTACAAACCTGTTTTCTGCAAAACGGAAGCAGCAGAGACACACATCAGCCCCAGCTCGATGAGAACAGGTCAGAACATGAACATAATTCATATTCAAGTGGACTATAAACCTGGCAAACAGCCGCTCCTCACATTTTGTGTGTCAAGGCCTTTTTTATTTAAGTTAGCCGGGACGATTTGTATGTATTTACTCCTGGAATTGTTGCTTTGGAGGGCAGGGGAAAAGGAAAAATGCAGGCACCAGTACATAGCGTGTGGTACAGGAAGCGTTTCCGTTAAGAGAAACTATCTTAAGATAAATACATGATGGATGCCGGAGGTGTTTAGGAGCTCACATTGTTTATATCAATATTTAGTCAATTCCTTTCTAAAATATATATTTTATACTAAGCAGCAGTTGTTTCAGGGTGTAAAGTATCCATGGGATAATTTTAGTTGGGCATCTATCTCAATAGCTCTGAAGAGACCAGAAAAGGGAGCCCAGCCTGTTCGGGGGTGGAGGTGCAGTCTAAGTGGGATGGGGGCAAGTCACCGGCTAGATGGCGACTTCTGCCCCGTTCCTTTGTTCCCCCAGCCTTAGATTCCTAGCTGTCGGGCTCGGAAGTTGAGTTTCATGACCTCCCCAAATATTCCATCAGCAGTCATGAAGGAGAGAAATCGCTTTCCTAGGAATCCAGACAAGTTGTCCCTGTCCACATGGAACTTTGCCTACACTCAATCAACCATGGAGTATCAAGGGCCTACTGTTGGCCAAAGCTGATGCTAAGACGCTGAGGACTCAGAGGTGAGGGAGGCCGGTCCACGCCCTCGTGGACTTTCTGCAGAGGAAAGGGAATGGCGTTTGCAGGATCCTAAAGGAGGTGCACGGCGGACTGGCCTAGAGCATGCGCAGTGTGTGCAGCACAGCGGTCTCTTCCGCCAGGGCTTCAGGAAAGAGCCAGCCCTCGGAGCCAGGCAGAGGAGGCGCAGCAGGGGGCGGTCACGCAAGGAGCAGGAGGCAGAAAGGGGTAGATTGTGAGCTCATTGCGCGTGAGGGTGCTGCTAAGCAACAGCTGCGTCCAGACGCAGCCTTAGCTCACACCAAAGAGTCTGAGTTGAAGCCTTACGATAACAAGGATCCACGGAAGAAGTTCAACAGAAAGAAAGGCCTGATTTAAAAAAAAAAAAAAAAAAAAAGAGCTTAGGAGGGCTACTCCGGCAGCCGGGAAGTATATCACCTGGCTGGAGGAAGAGGACAAGAGTGGAAGAGGCAGCCAGGGAATCAGTAAGGAGGTTGGCACAGATATCCATCCAGGTGGCAAATGACCAGTGTCCAAGGCAGTGGTTAATTAGAGAAAGAAACTTATGTTAAAGACAGACCTGTGGATGACTTTAAAGCTAATTAGAGCTCCATCCACAACCTTAAGGGCCGGGGAGATAGCTCAGTAGAATAAGTGCTCAAGGTCCTGAATTCAATCCCCAGTACCCCCCAAAAAACAGAACTTTGCGTTCTCTCCTGTGGGTCATGTCTTTCAAGCCACTGAATAATGCTAGTAAATAGTTTTCTACTCTGCCTCTTCCTGGTCTACAGAATCATGGAGTAAAAAGGATGATGTCCATCGCCTCTCTTGTACTCTGTTATATCTAGGTTTTACTATGGGCCCTGGCCTGTTATTATGGACAGCTAAGGCAGGTAGACGTATGATAGGCAGTCACATGGGGCCAGGCCCTCCAGGGAATCAGTGCTGAAGATGAGAACACATTACAGCCATGGCTGGCCGCACATCTGTGGAAGGCTGGGCCTTTGGATGGGGGCAGGGTGACCTGGGCCTGTTTGAAACCCCAAGCGACCAGCGATAGATTGGGAACTGTGCTTCACCTGATCCGGTGAAGTCTGGGCAAACATCGGTTCCCCATGGGTGGCCCGGACTCCCTGGTTAATCTCTTCCTAAACAGGTCCTTGTTCTTTCCATGTGCACATGGATCGATATTCCCTAAGAGGCTAAACTCACCAACTTATTGGTGAATCACAGTTTTGTCCTGCAATGCACCCACCTTGTAATTTTGCGCCCGCCTCATGATTTTGTTCTATGACTTTCCCTTGTAAAGTGGAGTGCCATTTTTGAGGGACCCTCCTGTCTCTCAGGAACTCTCTCTCTCTCTCTCTCCATAAATATTTCCTTCTCTGTGTTGTTCCTTAGAATAAAGTCTTCGGTTAGGCCCTATCTGAGCGTGAACTGAGCCTCTCCGACATTCAGCAGGCTTGGAGTACATTTACTTCCCCTACATCAATAGGAGTGAACACAAGCACATCCTCTATGAACCTGTGGTGGGTCGGGAGTCATGTCCCTTTCCCAATATTAAGTTTGTCCATCTTTGACAATTCAGATTCTTTCTTGAAACTGATTGTTAATTTATTCGTTTATGTTTCCATCCTATTTTAGTCCGAAAAGGATTTGAATAGATTTATAAAAATATATTCTATGGGATTTTTTATGTATAGCAAAACAAAATATTTACCTGGCAGGGGACACTGTGATCACAAAAGTGGTTTCTCAAGGGTGAGGCTGTTGGTTGCACTGTGGATGGGCTGACCTTTGCGATTTCCTCAAATGTGGGAAACCCAACTGCATAATTGGTGGTAGTGGGAGACTGCATTAGCGCTTTCCCCTAAAAAAAAGAAAACAATTTGAAAAGTTAAAAATAGCAAAAAGGTGCTGTGCCGGCCCCGCCTCCAGGGCACACTGAGACTGCAGCTGAGACTGGACGTGGTGGCGCACGCCTATAATCCCAGCTCTTGGGAGGCTGAACACAGGCAGATCACTACAAGTCTGATCTACATAGTGAGACCCTGTAGACTCTGTAGGCCCTAAAATACTAAAATACCAAAAAAAAAAAAAAAGTAGCAAAAAGAAGTTGTAGTACAGGAAAGATCAGATCAAGTCCAGGCCTGTGCAGCGCAGATATAGGCCTTGGTATATTCTTCCTGGAAGAAGGACAAAAATTTTGCTCTGGACTTCCTGGAAGAAAGTACAAAAATGAGAACATAAGGAAAATATCAGGGGCTGGCGAGATAGCTCAGTGGACTAAAGCACCTGCTTAGGCAAGCACAAGGACCACAGTTTGATCCCCAGCACCAGATGCCATGCCTGCCCCACCACCAGGGCAGGCTGCGCTGGCCAGAGACCCGGCGTGGTGGTGTAGCCTGTAACCCCAGCACTGGAGAGGCTGAAAACAGGAGGATCACTATGAGTCCAAGCTGCATAGTGAGACCCTGCAACAACCAATTACATTAAAAAATAATACTAATAATAAAAAAAGAAAAATATCAGACATATCAGGAGAAACACAAATACTGAAAGAAATGTCCTCCCTGGATCATAATTAAGAGAACAATGTAATCAACCTCTTTAATATCAATAATCTAAGAGAGATAATTTTACTCTCTGAAACTTTCAAATGTCCAAGATTTTTGGTGCCTAGGCAGGGTGGTCGAGCATGCTGATGATCAATTAAAATGTTTCCACAAGTCCTTATCATGTGTGTGGCCAAAGTGTTCTCTGTCTCACTGTTCAGACTCTCGCCTGAGGCAGCCAGGTCAGTAGGGTGGGGGAAAGACCCTCGTTAGGAGGTGGACGTAGACCCCATCACTTTGCGCAGCTCTGCAGCCCTTGACCAAGTCACTGACCTCTCTGAACATAGCTTCCTCATCTATAAAATGAGATGTTGTTCAACAACTATGGTGAAGGTTAACAGAGGCCGTATGTGGTAAGCACTTTGCAGGATCTGAAAAAGAGAGCCAAGGAAATAGACTGGAAAGATGGATGAAAGGAGGGAAGGACACATGGGTATCGGATGGATACAATGATGGGTGGATACACCAACCAATAAAATGAGCGCTCTGAGGAAGACATTCATACCGAATCTCATTCTTTTTTTTAGAACAACCTCAATCTCCTTTAGGGGCATCTATATAAAAAGTGATTAGCGCTCAAAAACATGAAGCCACCCCATCTTGGTTTCCACAAAAGTCCTCTAGCCTGCTGCCCCTGAGAGCTGGAGACTGAAGGTTCTCATTTTAGTATCTGTGTAGACACTGCCCAAGGTGGGAACTTCATGGTACTCTGCAGATGTTGCTTACAAACAGGTGCATGATCCCGCCCAAAAGAAATCCACAAATAAATCATACTTATTTGGGAGCAAATTCTCCAGTGAGAAAAGTGCTAGTCTATTTGTCCACGCCTCCTGTACCACCTGGTTCCTGCCGGTGCACAACCCAATTACTGGAGAATCGGGTATTCACGGTGAGGATAATTAATTAAATGCATTTGGACTAATTAATTTCAAAACTGGTAAATAGGGCCTCCCTTTGGTAGTTTGAAGATGCAGTTGCTGGTGCTCCTGATTAAAATGTAAAGCCAATCTGGCTGGCAACTAGCATGTAATTGATGGGCGCACTTTTGCAACTTTTAAGGTTTGTCAAATTGTACCCTCCTGATACTGCTAACCCCTTTTAATCAGTAAGTATAAAATTCATCCAAGGGCATAAAATATAACTGACAATAGCATACATCAAATCCCAAACTGAACATTCAAAATAAATTGTATCGAGATTTTTGTCACCAACATTGATTTCTGCTTTTCAAGCTCGTTTCTGGGGCAGCCACATAAAAGTTAAATACAAGCTATCTATGGGCTCATTGGATTGCAGTAATTCATTAAACCAATGGTGGCTTTAATAAATCTGAGCATAAACATCGCTTCCCCAGACACCCTCAGCTTGGAAATGTGCCACTAATCAGAGGGTGGCAAAATGAATCTCCTTGGCACACAGAGAAGGTGAGAAGCTGCACTGGGAGGTCGCAGAAGAGAGACTTCCAGAGGTACCATGTGTAGACTAGGCCTAGTGGCACACACACCTGTAATCCCAGCTCTTGGGAGGCTGTAAACAGGTGGATCACTACGAGTCTGATCTAGTAGTGAAACCCTGAAGACCCTGTAGACTCTTCCCTAAAATACAAACAATATATAGAGAGAGGTACTGTGTGCTTCAGCAGCCCTCATATTAGGTGATGGGGGTAACAGGACCACCTCAGGAACCAGCAGCTCAGAAACAAGCAGACAGCACCTCAGGAGCAAGCAGGCAGCACAGTATTTGTGCAAAGCTGGTGGTCAGCTTCAAATGAGAACCCACTTGCTGGGCATCCTTGGGCTCCGCAGATTACTGCTGTGGAGCTCAGTTCCTGGCAACAGGGCTCATCTCGTTCTCAACAACCTGCAAAGCACGGTCCCACAGCAGTTATCCAGAGACAAGGCCAAACAGGGTGGAGACTATTATCACACCCACTTTCCTGATTTGAAAACTGAAATTTAGAAATCAAAGCAACCCGTATGTGACCCCAGGGCTGGTAAACGCAGGATCTGCAGAATAACTGGCGACCTTCTGAAGCCTTCCTGTAAAGCCTACCCTGATGACCTACCAGCACTGTGGTCCTGCAGAAGTTGCTTAACCTTTCACAACCTCAGTTTTCTCAGCTGTACAGTGAAGATAACAAAAATAACCATTTCCTACTCACTGGGTGATTTAATGCGCTCCTAATTTAGATCAGATGCATAATAAGCACTTAATACATGTTTGCCACAATCCATATAGAACATCCGGTGTATCAACAAGGAACACAAGCTGGGTAAGGCCTGGAAAAGGACTGCGAGGAGCTTCAAGTTCCACTTCATCCAGGGGGAGAGAGACCTTGACCTGACTGTGTGGAGTCTTTCCCAGCTTGGGCCAAGACGCACCCTTCTGGCTGGCGTATGTTAAAAGCAGCCCGGGATAGTGCAGATCTTCTCAGCTGTGACTCATTATAGTAAATAGCGATGCAGCGAGGAGACGAGAAAAGAATTGGCATACACTAACTAACAGGATTTTTTGAGGAAAGTGATAAAAGAAGGTAAAAAGCAATCAGGAGAATTTACACAAGCCCCTGTGGCCTCCAGGGTCATCTGTTTAGGAGCCTACTAATGGAAATACATCTTTTTTGATGCTGGGTGATTATTCCATTGAAAAGGCAAGAATTTAAATGAATCAAGTCATAGCAGGGCAGATTTAGGTCAATGGCTACCAAGCTATGTCCTTTGGGTTGCAGTTCATCCATTTGTACTCAAGTTCAAATGTAAGACGGAGCAGTATACTTGGCTCTTTATTACGAATTGATTCAGCGCTTTGAAATATGTTGATATTAATGTGCTTAATGAATTTAGGGTTTTTTATGTATTTAGTACAGGGTCTACAAGTTTTCACTATGTAGATCGGGCTCGTTAGTGATCCTCCTGTTTTCCAAGTGCAGGGATTACAGGCACGGGCCACCAAGCCCAGTCTCAGTCACCATCTCAGCGCACCCTGGGGACAGAGCCAACACGGCACTCAGGGGATCAAAACCCTGGTCCATGTATCTGCCTAAGCAGGCACTTTAATCTGTTGAGCTATCTGGCCGGCCCTTACAAATTAAGTTTTTAAAATCAGCTTCCTGCTACACCCTTTATTTAGGAAAGAGAATGGTTTCAGATCCATTGACTTACTTGAACTTGACAGTGATCCTTTAAGATACATAGGGAACTTTTATCATTCCCACTTTATGAGAGCATAGTATAGATGTACTGAAGCCAAGGTCCATGGCATTTTTGTTCTTTTTCTTTCTTTTTTTTTTTTTTAATATCCCCCAGCACATGCCTAATAAAATCATAAGTCGAATGTGGTCGCAGAACCTCTGAAATGCCCTCCTGGAGACTTTTTAGAAGACAGCCCAGAACAGAGTCCTGGAGCTCTGCTGTGACAGCCGTGTCCTGGAGTTCAAATCCCAGCTATGCCACTTAATGACCTTCAGGATCTAGCTCATGGAACCTTAGCTCATAGTGGTGTTAATAATGCCCGTCTCCCAAAGCTGTCCTAGCAATTACATTTCAAGAAGATAAAACAAGAGGAGATGTGTAAGGTCCTTGTGAAGACTTTCTGAAACCTATTCACACTCAAAACTTGTAGTTCTCGCTGTCTCTTGAGTATATTTAGAAGGGCTGAGATAGGCATACTTGTTTGACCATTTGCTGAATTATTTTTAAGCATGCCTTAATCACCTGCCTCGGAGTTAACATGAACAAACAGCGGCGAGTGTACTCGGAGCGAGGAACAGAATCCCGACGACTCTCGTGGCAGCCAGGCAGGAATCTGAGCGCTGGCCGAAATCTGTAGAAACATCCTCCTTTAATTTAACACAATGTACTAGTATTAATCAGCGACAGGAAGACCGGTGTGAGGCTGCTTGCTGCCTCTGATATGGGGTCCATCTACTTTATTATTTTCTAGAACATTACAGAGACCTTTTCCCAAGTGGGAGAGGGGCCTGCTCATTTAATTTCTAAGTAAGGGATAATTAGCACCAACTGTGATTCATCGCTACTGGAACCTGACATCATTTTCATGCATCCTACGTAGAATATTTGCAAATTCACCGGCCTTCCAGGATAATTAGGTTGTGTTGTAGTTAGCTTCGTTTTTACATCCTTGGTGAAAGTACTTTTGAAATACAGTAGGAGCCTAGCCACACATAGTGTTGAGCTAGGGGACAATATTAGCGTACATGGGGAGGCACAAGGGAAGGGACTCACAGCTGTGCCTGGGG